CTTGGAGGCAAGGATTCTGGGGCTTCGTCTGACATACTTTGGACATGTTGCCAGGAGGGACGGGTCCTTGGAGAGGGACATCATGCTTGGGAAGGTGGAGGGACAGCGCAGGAGGGGAACACCCTCTATGAGATGGACTGATTCGGTGACTGGGGTAATTGGGATGGGTGTGTCAGAGGCAGTGTGGTCGGGGCAGGATAGAGCAGGGTTTAGGGCTGTTGTGCATAGGGTCGCTATGAGTCGAAAACGACTCGACGGCACATAACAACAACAACAACAAGACCTAAAATCTCTGCATGAATCCTGACATAACAACACATCTCCTAACACTAGAATGAAAAGTTCCTACCAAAGCATACCTCCTTCCTGAGTTATTCTGGGAAAATGAAGAGTAGGTGGTATACACAGAAAATAGCTGGGTTTTTTTTTGTGTGTGTGTGCAAATCAGAGAACGTAGCAGGGAACATGGCTTCACTATAGCCCAGCACCCTGCCCTCTGCTTCACATGTGTCAACAGTGCTGCTCTCATCTGTGTGAGAGGCTTTGGGCTGAGGGTTCCCAAGGAGGGAAGGACAGCCAATGGGCTGTCAAGTGCAAAGAGAGTGGCCAGCAAGGTTGCCAAGAGTTTGGGTGCTTCCTAGAGTGAGCACTGGAGCTGTGAGTCCTCAGCTCTGCTCACACATGCCCGAGTACAAAGTCTGGTGGATCTGAAAGCTACAGAGAGGTCAGCAGAGACTCAGGTGACAAGAAAGCTGTCCCAGGGCCCCTCCAAAGTGTCACAGGATTCTAAAAAGGCAACATCTACATGGTACCCACAGTAGTAGCCTTTAGTTTGTTAAGGTCTATTTTTGTGGAGAGATCCAGTGGCCTACTGTGTAGGGAGTTACACTATCAAGCCAAAGGAAAGTGGTTCGAATCCACTAGATGCTCTGAGGAAGAAACACGGGCAATCTTCTCTTATGTGATTTATAGCCTGTGAAAACTCACTGGAGGGACAGCAATGAATTAATTCCAACTGGAATCAACTGACTGACTTTGTGGTAGTTGGCAATGCTAAAACTCATTACTGTGGAGTCAGTTCTAACTCATGTTATCTCTCATGTCTCCAAGACTATAGATGGCAATGGAAGGTGACCATTCATCTTCCTCCTGAGGAGCCGTTCGTGGATTCAAACCCCTGCAGATATGGAGCCTTCGGCTTAGCGATCTTAACTGACTTCTCCTGAAAATACACTCAAAGGAAGTGAGACCAAGTATAGCATCTGTGCCTCTAAGGTAAGTTTTGGTTGTACTTCCTCTATGACAGATTTGTTTTGGTTTGGATTGGTCCAAGGCACATTCAATACTCTTCATCAACTCCACTTTGGTCTTCCTAATTCATTACCCAACTTTCAGATGCACAGGCAACAACTGAAAATATTGTGTGAAGCTCTTCCTCTCTTTGGCTGATCCTCTAACTTTTCCCAGAATGATTTTTTTTTTTCAAGGTCTGACTTCTCTTGACTGCATGTAAGATGGCATTTAATCATCTTTGCCTCTAAGGAGTGTCCTGGCTGTACTTCCTCTAAGACAGAGAAGTCTAAGCGATATCCTTATCCATTGTCCAACTTTAAGATTCATAAAAAGCAACTGACAAATCCACCAGATGTTCTGCTGGAGAAGAAGGGGGTAATCTCCTCCTGTACCAGTCAGATCTGATTTGATGGTACACATAAAAATAATACAATAAAAAAATTTTTTTAAAAAGCAACTGAAAATACCATGGCTTGTATAAGAAGTATTTAGTGGTGTCTATCTGGTATTTAGATCATTAATCTTTAGCACTTTGGAGAGATCCTTGACAGCAGACTTTCTCAATACAACACATCTTCTGATTGCTTGATTGCTGCTAGTGTGGGTGTTGATTGTGGATCCAAGTAAAATAAAATCCTTGACAGTGTCAAGCCTTTCTCCATCTATTAATGATGAGGAGTTTTGTTTTCTTGATAGTAAGGTGTAGGCCATATTGAAGGCTTGAACCTTCTGCATCAAGTGTTTCAATTTCTCTTCATTTTCAACAAGCCAAGTTGTGTCATCTCCATAACGTTGTTGATGAGTCTTCCTCCAGACTCCATTCTTCATACAGTTTAGCTTCTCATGATATGAAGGGTGGATTAATTCTTGACATACAACATTTCCAGTTTTAAATCATTCAGTGGCAGTTTCCTGTTGATGAATTGTTGAACCATTTTTTAATATGTTCAACAAACTTTTACATGCATATTATATTAATGATATTTTTCAATAATGTCCACACTCTGTTGGAGCACCCTTTTTTGGAATGGGGAAAAACTATCTTTCAAATTTTTTGGCATAGAGTGGCACACCCAGTGCTGTGTCTGCTGAAACACCTAAACTAGAATGTCATCAATTCCTGGGGCACTGTTTTATGCAAAAATCATTTTTAGTACAGCCTGAACTTCTCCTTTCATTACCATTGGTTCTAGATTGTATGTTACTTCTTGAAACGGTTCATTGCCAGCTGATTCTTTTCAGTGGCTCTATATTCCTTCCATCTTCTTTTAAGGTTTCTTGCATCATTAAATATTTGCCCAGAGGATCCTTCAGAATTCTAATTTGAGGCTTTGAGAAATTCTAGATGTGTTATTCTGTTTTTCAATTCTAGTTCTTTTTAATTTTCATTAATACCTCAGTTTGTCATCTCAAGTTGCCCTATGAAATCTATTCATCTCTTAGTTCTTCATTTCTCTCTGTTTTGGCCTCTCCCCACTCTACTGCAAGTTTCAGAGTCTCTTTCAACATCTCTTTTGCCGTGCCTGCCTGTCCACCGTCCGTGTCTGTCTGTCTGTCTGTCTGTCTGTCTCTCTCTCCAATTTATCTCATCTTTGGTCATCAGTGTCTAATTCATGAAATCTACTCTTGAGATTGTTTTAAATTCAGTTGGATGAACTCAAGCTCATATTTTGGCTCCTGCTGACTTGATGTAATTGGTTGTTTGTTTCACAGGCAGCCTAGTGGAGCTCTGGTAGTCCAGTCCGTAGAGTTGAACTGCTAACCCCAAAGCACCTGCTCTCTGATGGTTCAAATCCACCAAGGGAGTCTCTGTGAAAAAAGAGGGGTAATCTCTTCCTGTGCAATTTACAGCACCAAAAACAAGAGGGTCAGTTAGGAGTTGGTTCTGACTCAACAGCAATGAGTTTTTAGTTTTTTTTTTTAGTTTGAACAAATACACTGGCTTACAATAAATTGGAAATCTCAATTACCTGATCTATAGTAAGAATGCAGCTTTGTAATAGGCAGCAAATAAAGCTAGAAAAGTTTTCTGTGGCCTGAACCACCACCATTAAAACAGGAGGACAGAGTGGATCAGAAACCTCCTGCCTCAAATGTGGGCAAAACCAACCTGCTTGTGGCGCTGTCTCATGTCTGCATGTCTGTGGGGGCCGATGTCCACCCGGTAGCGCTGGGGATACTCCCCCATAATGAAGCTGAGGCCCCGATTGTTGCCACCTCCATCTGGCCCATCCCCCGTGTGTTCCCTCTGAACTTCAAGCTCAGCCAGCTCGGGCAGGCTCTCTGGAAGCTCGCCCTGGAACACAGGATATGAACTTACAGCTCTGGCCAAGACTGATTTTGATGACCTGAAGGTAATTATCTTCATTATGGCAGGAGCCACTTTAAGAGTTAACACATCTTCTATTTCTCATCTACTTCCCTAAACATATTCATTTTGGCCATTTTATTAACTGAAATGTCTCCATTTAAGTAGCACAGCATGGGGGCTTAATTTATTAACATTTTCAAATCTATGTATAAAGTGCTACTGCATATAGCAAGGAGGTCTGGAGCTTAGCGATAGGAGCTGTGCTGCCAACTCAAAGCCAGTGTTCAAATCCACCAGCTGCTCTGCAGGAGAAAGATAGACCATCTTATCTCATGTGATTTCTAACCTCAGAAAATCCGCTGGAGGGCCAGCTATGAGTTGGCTCCAACTGGATGGCAAAGAACAGCAGCAACAACAACTGTTTAGCTAGGGTTTTGTGTGTTAGAGGAATAGAAACTCCAAGCACTAATCAAGAGGAAAGTTTACAACTATTTCCATTTACTTATTAATGGTTCTCTATGTCCTGAGCATGCTGAAGATGGTGGAACTAACCTTCAGAGACATATAAATGAAAAGCAAATGAGTCTGGCATGTTTAAGTTATGAGTTTAGGAACTGAGAATAAGGAGAAGGACATTCATAAGTTTACGAGGTGGCAAAAGATGTCTTCTCTGAAGTGTGAAAGAAATTCTGACAGAATTTTACCCTACAGAACTGATAAAAAATTGAAACGGAACGTGAAGAAAAAGTTTTAGGGCCAGGTTTTACAAAACTGACACAAAGTTGAATAAGACAGTAAAGGGCCTAAGTGTGACAAATTAAATAAATGAGTAAAATGAATCTGTAACAACGGGGATGGCAGTGAAACACTGCTAAAGGGCAGAGTTACAGACCGGAATACTTTTAACCCTAGGTCCACATGGAGCATGGACTTCTCACTTTACTTTATAAATGGACAACCTACGGCATTTCTACACAGTAGAAATTGGATTGTTCCTGATGAAAGATACTTAATATATAGAACAAGACTTTGTGGGGAGGAGGCAGCAGCGTCTGAGGCCAAGGAAATTAAGAGCTCTGCAGATGGCCTTACCTCGGTTGCATCCTCATCTTCCTCCTCCATCCGCTTCCCCTGCCGCCAGTGCTTCAGCAACCATCTGAGTTTGACGTAGAAGAGGAAAATGTTCTGCTTCAAGAACCGGAGCTCCTGCTGCATCAGATTCTTCTCTTCGCTCCAGGTCCGAGTGGGCAGAGGGCTCTGCAAAGCCAGGCTGTGCACTTCTAGTTCCTTCCACCTCATGGCATAGAGGTGTTCCTCCTCCATCTTGAAGGGCATAAAAAACAAGTGTGACAACCTGCACAGGCCACCTGGCTGCCATGCTCACACCATCACAGGACACTTACCTTGAGGGCTGGTCTCTGAGCTGGTGTGAAAAACTCTGAAATATGCATATTTTTAAAACATTATCAGAGAGCTCTGGTGACCTAGTGATTAGAAGCTGCCCTGCCAATCCAACGGCACACAATTTGAATCCACCAGCTGCTCCATGAGAGAAAGATGGGCAATGACTTATCACCTCTGAAAATTTGCTTGGAAAGTCAACTATGGGTTGATTTTAACTCAATGGTAAACAACAACAAAACACTATGAGTTAAAAAAAATTTAAAATAACAAAAAACCCAAACACTATGATTTGGGACCAAGTGATATTTCAAGGTAAGGGATTTTTAGAAACTTTTTTTAGTGTCAAATCTTTTATGGTGCCTTTAGATGTGTCTAAACTTCTTCAAGAAAATAGCTTCTTGGGTTTAAGGCTTGTAGTTGACTTAAATGTGGACCTCATTTTCTTTCTGGGCATGGCCTTGGCATGCAGGCACACTGCAATTGTAACGAGAAAAGGAAATTCTCTCTCGCCTTATGTTCTGTGCCCTCTGTGCACACAGAACAGCCAAAAAGAAACAAGAGAAAAAACCAGGTTGATCTGCAGACCCACTGAGAGCCACATGGGAAGGTGGAGGGAGGCCAAGAGGCTACGTGTCTTCGTACGGCACTACTTACCATGTGAGCACAACAAAGTGCACGTGAGAACCTATATCCATGTTAATTAATTTAGATGAGAGATGCATCTCTCTCATGGAAATAAAAGCAATGTTTCCCAGCCCTACTTTAAGTTCTGGTTTTTAAGTCAAAGGTTCCAAGCAACTAATAATTAGAGTCAACACTAATAAAGCAAGAAAAAAGCCCTACTTCAAAGTTAATATAATAATTACTGTAACCAATGCAATACTGCAATATTCAAAGCCTTCTGTTCTACTGGGGAATAAAAAGCCCCGTGTGTGTGTGTGTGTGTGTGTGTGTGTGTGTGTGTGTAGAGTTCAAATATGAGAAACCCTTGTCCCTATATTTTACCCTTGTCTCTCCAGAGACAAGCTCTTGTCTATATATGTCAACCTTATTAGTTGCCTTCTAATAGGACATTCCTCCTGGCTATAAACTAAAGCAGTGTTGCAATTTTACTCCAAATGAAGGAGCTCTGGTGGCTTAGTGTAAAGAATGGCACAGTCAACCCACACCTGCTCTGCAGGAGAAAGATAGGAACTAGATTAGTTAATTCTCGGAAAGCTGAGGTGCCTGGGTATTCCAATGAAGCTCTTGGAAGGACTTGTTATTCAGCGTTGTTCTTCCTGCACTGGCAGGATAGAGGGCTCTTGCAATCAGCTCCTGACTTGTTTTGATCAGCAAGACCAAGAACGACATGGAGGTTTATTTAAGACACATGCTATTGCTGTTGTTAAGTAACATCGAGTTGGAATCAACTCATAGATTATCCTCCAGTGTGTTTTCAGAGGCTTTAAATTGCACAGGAGGAGACTATCTTTCTCCCACAGAGCAGCTGGTGGACTTGAATCACATGCCTTTGGGCTGGAAGCACAATTCCATACCTGCATATTTATTCTGCAAAGGACATATATTTTGAAATACTATGGTGTGCAATTTAAGACCAATGATGTTTTAAATATACAGCACTCTCTCAAAAGCAGAAATACAGAAGCAGCAACATAATTCTGAGCCTCTGTATCTATTAGCAACTTAATTGGATGGAAGGTGTGGCAGAAATTGGCCAGTTTTCAGGGAATGATATCCTTTGTCTGTGAATCCTTTAGGGATGCTGGGAAAGGATTTAACAGAGGCATGATAATAAGTCAGAACAGGTCATTCTAAAACATCCAGGAGAATTAATCAGGCCACAGCTAAATTACTGGCAGGTCTGTTTTGAAGAAAACACTTGAAACGAGTCATTGATGTTTCCATCTAAAAGTTTTCCTTCCTAACACTGACAAAGCTTTCAAGTTTGCAAGGAAAAAATGTTATAAATGCAACTTTCATATTCAGCTGTATTTATTTATTTTACTTTGCTAGAGGGTATTGCTGCATAGGAAATTTGGAACAGATATTAGGATTAATTTTCAGAGACCACAACAATAAATACCGAAAAGCATGTTGGAGCAAAAGGGTAAACACGTCTTTAAAAAAAAAAATCATTCTATCTTACCCTGGATGCTTATAAGAATCTGAGTGGGACTCCTTAGACTGACAGATTGTTTAGCCCTCTAAAGTGTACAAATTTCCTAACAGTGCATGAAGATCAACTTGTTATATCATAGGCTAGAAACAGGGAGCTCTAGTGGCCAAGCGGTAAGAAGTTGCACTGCAATTTCAAAGGCATATGGTTTCAATCTACCAGCTGCTCTGCAGAAGATGGATGGGCTGTCTCCTCCCTTGTGATTTCCAGCCTCTGTAAACCCACTAGAAGGTTAGATATGAGTTGGTTCTGACTCAATGGCATGTAACAACAGGTTAGAAATGGTTAAGGGATTTTTATTCTTTTTATCAAGTCCAAGTGGGAAAGAAAATTTAAATATTACTTTTGAAAATAAGCATTTTTAAGGAAGAAAACGGTTATACTAAAAGCTCCATGCATAAGTAAAATTTAAGTATAGTATCTACTTCTTAAATAACATGCCTCTGGAAGCTCTATGAACTTTATGATTATAGTTACAGAAAGTTTCAAGTCCTTTTGTTCATGACATTTTATGATTTATGCTACTTGAAGATAGGTGGTATTTACTGGGGATCTGAGGGGCTGCTGTATTAGTTAATTGGCCAGCCATTCCAACACCTTTACCTACTTCCTTATTTCTCACTGGATTCTCTCCTCCTTCCTAACCGATGTCACCTGGGTTGTCATTATGCAGTTACATCCTAAGAATAGGAAGAGCAAAAATCTGAGGGTAGGACACTTCCTTTCTCAGAGAAGAAGCTCACAAAATAGAAGGATGGAAGCACAGAAACCCCTCCAGCTCTCACAGAAAGTGTCAGATGTTGGAGAGTGAGACTCAAAAACTCGTGAGAACTTACAGGTTTCTTGGATTTACTAAGAGTCAACTGCCAGAGACAGTTCCAAGCAGTACTGCCTGTTGTCGTTGAAGAAAGGCATTTTCCTTCACATAACTTATGGCGACAACCAATTTCTCATTTCTAAAAGTCCTATTTTATAATTTTTTTGAAATCAACTTCAACCTGTGAAAGTTTCCAACATTTGTAGGAATAGTTCTAGGGAGCTCTGGTAGCCTAGTGGCAAGGGGCTGCACTGCAATCCCGAAGGTGCACAGTTTAAATCCACCAGATGCACCACTGGAAAGGAGGGGCTATTTCCTCCTGTGCCACTCAGATCTGATTCCACGGTACGGAAGGAAGGAAGGAAGAGAGGGAGGGAGGAAGGAAATCAATCAATCAATCAATCAATCAATTCATCAATCAATCCACTTCTGTAACAGCTTGCCTCCGGAAACCCTATGAACCTGCAGAAAGGATGAAAGTCACACAAGTGTTGAGGACTTTCGTTCATAGGGTTGCTATGAGTTTCCTACAACTTGATGGCACTTAACAACAATAACAACAACATAGAGAATGATCAGTTGGCCTAGTGGACAGAAAGTGATGCTACCAAGCCAAAGGTGGGTAACTTTTAATCCGTGGCCCCGAGGTCTGTTTTTCGTTGTTTTTGTTCAAACATTCTTCTAGGTCGTATAGGCCTGCTGTGTCCACTTGCTGTATAGAGGTAACCTGTGGTTGCTGTGAAGCTGAATGCTGTGACACTGATGCGTCAAATGCGATAATGGTTACACATGATGGACAGTGTTTGGTGGAGCTTCCCGATTAAAACAAGCGTGGAAGCAGGAGTGGCATCCACTTCTGTAACAGCTTGCCTCTGGAAATCTTATGAACCTGGAGAAAGGATGAAAGTCACACAAGTTTTGAGGACTTTCATTTATAGGGTCGCTATGAGTTGCACACGACTGGGCGGCACTTAACAACAACAGTTACATTTTATAGAATATTTTATTCAACAAATATCTATTAAGCACCTTCACTAAAAGGCACTGGACTCTACCCAGGACACAGCAGCGGCAGGAGTCAGTAGAGGTCCCTGCACTCAGGAAGCTTCAGCTCTCTTCTTAGGTTTGTGCATCAAGCTCATTGTCAGAGTACTTCAGCTGCTCCATTGCTAGTTTCACTTGCTTACACAATAGAGGGTGCTTTTAGAGACTGTGTGTATTTTAACACAATGAACACTAATAAAAAGTTTTAAAGATGTCAAAATGACAACCTCTGGTAGGCTAGTGATAAAAAGCTGTGCTGCAATCCTAAAGGCAAGTGGTTGGAATCTACCAAGTGCTCCGAAGGAGAAAGATAGGCAATCTCCACCTGTGATTTACTACCTCTAAAAACCTGTTGAAGGGTTAGCTAGGAGTCAGTTTCAATTTGAAGGCACACAACAAAAACAATCATGACAGTCTTTTAAGAAAAACAAAGCTCTATTAATTTGCTCTTTATTATATTATTTAGTTTTATCTTAATAATAATAATGTATATAAACTTTGCATCACAAAGAAATACATACTTCATCCTTCTATTTTTAATTAAAAATATGCCCTCCATTTGAACCTTGGCTCAAAAGGTCACAGAATGGAAAATGATGGGATTCGCCTGGGCACTGGATTTGCTACAGTGGCTCCAGGTCAACTCTGGAGACGTGAGACCAGAAAACAACAAAAAATGTTAGATCCCATGGCCTATTAGAAAGTCCTTTATTGTGTATATTTCTAGAAAATGGAATATTAAAACTCCTATGAACAAGTGCTCTTAGATGGGATGCCAATGCTACTCACTCTGATGTTACAAGATTAAAAGGCTCTTGGACATAAAACACCCACATGTTGCAAATGTGCCAGCTTAGAGGGGCTTGACTGCTATACCAC